GTCCATTGGGGTGCATTGGGATGCATTGGGGTCCATTGGGATGCATTGGGGTGCATTGGGATGCATTGGGTCCACTTGGATGCATTGGGTCCATTGGGGTCCATTGGGATGTATTGGTGTCCATTGGGGTCCATTGGGGTGCATTGGGGTCCATTGGGGTGCATTGGGGTCCATTGGGATGCATTGGGGTCCATTGGGGTGCATTGGGTCCATTGGGGTCCATTGGGATGCATTGGGTCCATTGGGGTCCATTGGGGTGCATTGGGGTGCATTGGGTCCACTGGGGTGCATTGGGTCCATTAGGATGTATTGGGGTCCGTTGGGATGCATTGGGTCAATTGGGGTCCATTGGGATGCATTGGGGTCCATTGGGGTCCATTGGGATGCATTGGGTCCATTGGGGTGCATTGGGTCCATTGGGATGCATTGGGGCCATTGGGGTCCATTGGGATGCATTGGGTCCATTGGGGTGCATTGGGGTCCATTGGGATGCATTGGGTCCATTGGGGTGCATTGGGTCCATTGGGGTGCATTGGGTCCATTGGGATGCATTGGGTCCATTGGGGTCCATTGGGATGCATTGGGTCCATTGGGGTGCATTGGGGTGCACTGGGGTCCATTGGGATGCATTGGGGTGCATTGGGATGCATTGGGGTCCATTGGGATGCATTGGGTCCATTGGGGTCCATTGGGGTGCATTGGGTCCATTGGGGTCCATTGGGGTGCATTGGGTCCATTGGGGTCCATTGGGATGCATTGGGTCCATTGGGATGCATTGGGATTTATTGGGGTCCATTGGGATGCATTGGGGTCCATTGGGGTGCATTGGGTCCATTGGTCCCCATTGCCCCCCATTGCCCCCCAGAGGTTCGGGAGCACCGGGCAGGGGCCCCGAGGCCGGAGCCGAGCGTGAGCCTGGAGCTGGGGGAGAGCCCGGGGGCAGGGATCCGCATCCAGGTGAGGGCTGGGCCTGGCAGCCCATAATAACCCCAGTATAACCCAGTATAACCCAGTATAGCCCATTATAGCCCATTATACACCATAATAACCCCATTATAGCCCATTATAACCCCGTTATAACCCATTATAACCCCATTTACCCCATTATAACCCCATTATAACCCATTATACCCCATTATACCCCATAATAACCCCATTTGCCCCATTATAACCCCATTATAACCCATTATAACCCTTTATAACCCATTATAACCCCATTGAAACCCATTATAACCTCATTATAACCCATTATACCCCATTATAACCCATTATACTCCATTATAGCCTATTATAACCCATTATAACCCCATTGAAACCCATTATAACCTCATTATAACCCATTACACCCCATTATAACTCCATAAGAACCCATTATACCCCATTATAACCCCATTATAACCCCATTATAACCCATTAGAACCCATTATACTTCCATTATACCCTATTATAACCCCATTCACCCCATAATAACCCCATTCCATCCCGTAACCCCATTCTACCCATTATAACCCATTATACCCCATTATACCCTATGGTAAACCCCTTCCATCCCATAATAACCTGTACCATCCCATAACCCCCTTCCATCCCGTAATAACCCCTTCCATCCCATAATAACCCCATTCTACCCTATGGTAGCCCCCGTTCCATCCCATAATAACCCCCTTCCATCCCATAATAACCCCATTGCACCCCATAATAACCCCATTCCATCTCATGATAACCCCATTATACCCTATGATAACCCCTTTCCATCCCATAATAACCCCATTATACCTCATTATAACCCATTATATCTTATGATAACCCCATTCCATCCCATAATAACCCTTCCCCGGTTCCATCCCATAATAACCCTATTACACCCCATTATAGCCCATTATACCCCATAATAACCCAGTTCCATCCCATAATAACCCCCTTCCACCCCATAATAACCCCATTATACCCCGATAACCCCTTTCCATCCCAAAATAACCCCATTATACCCCATTATAACCCATTATACCCCATAATAACCCCCTTCCATCCCATAATAACCCCCCTTCCATCCCATAATAACCCCATTATACCCCATTATAACCCATTATACCCCATAATAACCCAGTTCCATCCCATAATAACCACCTCCCATCCCATAAGAACCCCATTATACCCCATAATAACCCAGTTCCATCCCATAATAACCCCATTATAACCCATTATACCCCATTATACCCTATGATAAACCCCTTCTATCCCATAATAACCCCATTCCATCCCATAATAACCCCATTGCACCCCATTATAACCCCATTGCATCCCATTATAACCCCATTCCATCCCATTATAACCCCATTGCACCCCATAATAACCCCATTCCATCCCATAATAACCCCATTACACCCCATTATACCCCATAATAACCCAGTTCTATCCCGTAATAACCCAGTTCCATCCCATAATAACCCCCCCTCCCCCTCCCATTGCAGCTGGCCCAGGCCTTCGCCCAGCCCCTCCTGGACGAGCCCCATTGACCCCGCCCCCTCTGCCCTCATTGGACGCCGCTCCCAGAGGCCCGCCCCTGCCGCTCTCTGATTGGCTGCGCACCGGAACCTCGGCTTTTAACCCTAAATCTGCCCTTTTGGACCCAAAAGCGGCCTCTTTGGAGCCCTTTATGGCCTTATATGGCGTGATGATGACGTCATATCGTTATATCGGGGTTAATTCGGGTTATTTTGGGTTTAATTCGCTTTATATCGGGTTTAATTCGCTTTATATCGGGTTTAATTCAATTTATATCGGGTTTAATTCACTTTATATCGGGTTTAATTCAATTTATTTTGATTTATATTAAGTTTAATTCCCTTTTATTCCCTTTTATTCCCTTTTTAATCCATTTTATTGGGGATTTATTGCCTTAAATCCGTGTTTTTTGCCTTTAATTCCCCTTTAATGGGGTTTTAATGCCCCTTTATTCCCTTTTATTTCCATTTATTCCCTTTAATTCGCGATTTATTGCCTAAAATCCAGGTTTTTCGCCTTTAATTGGGTTTTAATTCCCTTTGATTCCCTTCTAATTCCCTTTTATTCCCATTTAATGCCTTTTAATTCACTTTTAATCCCTTTTTATTCCCTTTAATTCACAATTTATTGCCCAAAATCACGGTTTTTTGCCTTTAATTCAATTTTAATTCCCTTTTAATTCTTTTATTTTCATTTAATCCCTTTTAATTTACTTTTAATTCACTATTCACTTTTATTCCTTTTAATTCACAATTTATTGCCCTAAATCCACGTTTTTTGCCTTTAATTCCCTTTCAACCGGGTTTTATTCCCTTTTATTCCCATTTAATCCCTTTTGATTCCCTTTAATCCCTTCATTTCGCCATTGAGACCCATAGAGACCCCATAGAGACCCCATAGAGACCCCATAGGGACCCCATAGGGAGCCATAGGGCAGAGGGGGCGTGGCCTCAGTTGACCCTGGCACTATGGCGCCCCCTAGTGGATGCGCCGCAACGCGCGCACCCCGTAGAGCCCTCCCCGCTCCCCTTCCTTGACGTCACTTCCGGTCTCCGCCCCTTGCCCCGCCCACTCCCATGATGCCCCGCGGCCGCTCCTCACTGCCCCCTGGCGCCTACCGCGAGTACGAGGCCGCGATGGCGGCGCTGGGGCTGCCCCATGGATGTGGGGCAGAGGAAGAGGAGGAAGAGGAAGAGGAAGGGGGGGGCCCCCTGCCCCCAGCGCTGCTCCAGGACCTCCATTGCCTGCAGCAGGTGGGACCCATAAGTGTGGGGCATTGAGCCCCATTGAACCCCATTGCCCTCCACTGAGCCCCATTGAGCCCCATTGACCCCCATAACAGGCGCTGAGCCCCGGCTTCGTGGCAGCCATCTTGGAGGAGGAAAAGGAGGAGCCCAAGATGGCGGCCCCCACGATGGTAGAGCCCTCAGACAAAATGGCGGCCGCCGTGGAGGCGGGGCCTCCGGCCAAGATGGCGGCTATAGGCACATCCAAGATGGCGGACACCACCGGTAAGGGAGAGAGGCCCGAGGTGGTGGTCACGTGGTGCACGCTGGCGCCCAAGATGGCGGCCACGGTGCAGAAACGGCCCCGAAGGAAGATGGCGGCCGCCATGGAGAGGGGAGATGGGGCCAAAATGGCCGCTTTCAAGATGGCCGCCGCCGTTCAAACCGCGTGGGGCAAGATGGCGGCACCCATGAGGGAGGTGGAGCCCTACAAGATGGCGGCCATCATGGGAGTCTTAGCTGCTTCCAAGATGGCCACCGTGGAGTGTTTATCCCCTCCCAAGATGGCGGCCCCCATAGCGATACCGCCCCCATCGTTCATCATGGCGGCCCCATGGGGGGATGCAGACCCACCTAAGATGGCCGCCACCATAGAGGCACCGTCGCCATCCAAGATGGCTGCCCCCATGGAGGAGCCAGCATCCAGCATGGCCACCATCATAGAAGCAGACCCAAACAAGATGGCCGCCATATCGGTTATCACCACCCATCATGGCGGCCTCCATGGGGAGACCATCATCCAAGATGGCGATCTCCATGGGGAAACCATCATTCAAGATGGAGGTCTCCATGAGGGCTCCAAAATCCAAGATGGCATCCTCCATATTGACACCATCATCCAAGATGGCGGCCTCCATGAGGGAACCAAGATCCAAGATGGCGGCCTCCATGTTGACACCACCATCCAAGATGGCGGCCTCCATGAGGGAACCAAGATCCAAGATGGCGGCCTCCATGTTGACAACCAAGATGGCCACCGCCAGGAGATGCCCCGCCCCACCCAAGATGGCGCCCACCATTGACCCACACCCCTTCCTATTGGCTGCTTTATTACCCTATAACCCCCCCCCAAGATGGCTGCCTCCATTGTTCAATCCAATATGGCCGCTTCCGTTACTGCTTCAAGATGGCCGCTTGCATTGATGCATCCAATATGGCCGCCTCCATTGCTCCATCCAATATGGCCGCCCCCACACAACCTCTGGCCCCGCCCAGGCGCCGGCGCGGGCTCTGATTGGCTCAGGGCTCGGGGGGCGTGGCCTGGGCGGGGTCTGCCCGCAGCAGGAGGCGGGCGGGGGCGAGGGCGGAGCCCGGGGGGGGGCGGCCGTTGATGAGCAGGGAGAGGGGGGAGGGGACCCGGACCCCCAGGAAGGAGAATGTCTGGGGGGGAGGGGAGGGTTAGGGACCCATAGAGACCCCATAGAGGCCCATAGAGACCCCATAGAGACCCATAGAGACCCATAGAGACCCCATAGCACCCCATAGAGGCCCATAGAGACCCATAGAGACCCATAGAGACCCCATAGAGACCCCATAGAGACCCATAGAGACCCCATAGCACCCCATAGAGGCCCATAGAGACCCCATAGAGACCCATAGAGACCCATAGAGACCCCATAGCACCCCATAGAGACCCCATAGAGGCCCATAGAGACCCCATAGAGAACTATAAAGTCCCCATAGAGCCCCACAGAGCCCTAGAGACCCCCATATAAACCCCATATGCACCCCATAGACTCACATAAACCCTCTACAGAGCCCTATAAAGACCCCATAGAGACCCATAGAGAACCATTGACCCCATAGACCCTCCATAGAGCCCCACAGAGACCCCATTACCCCCCATAGAGCCCCCATAGATGCCATATATCCCCCCCAAGACCCCATAGAGACCCCATAGAGCCCCATAGAGAACCATAGAGCCCCATAGAGACCCATAGAGACCCCATAGAGCCCCATAGCGCCCCATATCCCCCCCTTACCTGCCCCTGGTGTTGGTGCTGATGCTGCTTGAGGCACGGCCGGGGCACGGCCACGCTGTCGCCGACGGCCACCGTCCAATCAGGAGCCGCGTTATAGACAGTGATGGCGGCCACGCCCCCTGCTCCATCAGCCAATCCCAGCACACTATGGGGGAGGGGGGGAGTGACGTCATCACCTCCCCATAGCCCCACCCCCTATTCCATATAAGGAAAGGGGAAGGGGGGAATGGGGGGGGGGGGGGTTAAAAGGGGGCGGGGCTTACTATGGGACCCGCCCCTCCGGGGCGCAGGTGAAGAGGACGCGGCCAATCAGAGCGCGGCGGGGGTTGGGCCCTGGGCGGAGCTCGCTCAAAGGGGCGGGGCTTAAGGAAGGGGGGAGCGGGGGGGAGGGGGGGGAAGAGGTGGGGGAGGGGTGGGAAGGGTCCGGGCGGCTCCGGCGCCGCTTCCCACGGGATGGGGGCTGGGAATGGGGGGGGAGACCCCATTGAGCCCCATTGAACCCATTGAACCCCATTGAATCCATTGAACCCCATTGAATCCACTGAGCCCCATTGAACTCATTGAGCCCCATTGAAACCCATTGAGCCCCATTGAATCCATTGAGCCCCATTGAACCCATTGAGCCCCATTGAAACCATTGAGCCCCATTGAGCCCCATTGAAACCCATTGAGCCCCATTGAAACCCACTGAGCCCCATTGAATCCATTGAGCCCCATTGAAACCCACTGAGGCCCATTGAACCCATTGAGCCCCATTGAACCCCATTGAGCCCCATTGAATCCATTGAGCCCCATTGAACCCATTGAGCCCCATTGAAACCATTGAGCCCCATTGAAACCATTGAGCCCCATTGAATCCATTGAGCCCCATTGAAACCCATTGAGCCCCATTGAATCCATTGAGCCCCATTGAACCCATTGAGCCCCATTGAACCCATTGAGCCCCATTGAATCCATTGACCCCCTTTGAGCCCATTGAGCCCCACTGAAACCCAATGAGCCCCACTGAACCCACTGAGCCCCACTGAATCCCACTGAGCACCACTGAATCCATTCAGCCCCATTGAACCCCACTGAACCCCATTAAGACCCATTGAACCCATTGAGCCCTATGGAATCCCATTGAGCCCCACTGATGCCATTGAATCCACTGACCCCCATTGATCCCCATTGAACCCACTGACCCCCATTGACCCCATTAATCCCCATTGACCCCATTGCCCCCCCCCACCCTAACCCCGCCCCTCTCACCCGATTGGCCAGCGCCGTGCAGAGGCGGGACAGGAAGTCCAGGAGCTGGGCGTGGCGGCGCCGAGGCTCCGCCCACCCCGGCGCCAGCGCCCCCGCCCGGCTCAGCCCCTCCAGTGCCGCCCCATAGCGCTCCTCGTACTGCAGCAGCTGCAACGGCACCTCCCATTGGCTGCCGCGCCCCAGAGACGGCCTCTGATTGGCTGCTATCCCTTCCCTCCCCTCTAACAGCGCCTCCCATTGGCTGCGACTCGGCCTCGCAGCTGAGCCAGCACCCGCACTATGGCGCCCCCTGCTGGTCAGATGTAACAGCGCCTCCCATTGGCTGCGGCTCCCCCCCCACCCCAGCCAGCACCCGCACTATGGCGCCCCCTGCTGGTCAGATGTAACAGCGCCTCCCATTGGCTGCGGCTCCCCCCCCACCCAGCCACCACCCGCACTATGGCGCCCCCTGCTGGCGCAGATACAACAGCGCCTCCCCATTGGCTGCCGCGTCCGTTGGCTGCGCTCTGATTGGCTGGCGCCCCACAACACGTTGGCCAGCCCCCCCCCGGCGCTAAAGGAGGGACCCTATTGGAGGGCTGCTGTGGTGGCCACGCCCCTTTGAATGCCTTATATGGATAGCCACCCCCCCCCATGGGCTCTTAATGAGCCAATAGGAAGCGGGTTGGGGAGGCCACGCCCCCAAGCTGGGTTCTTGGACCCTATTGGATGCCTCAAGTACCCAAGCCCCGCCCCCTGCACCCCATTGGCTGACTCACGGTGGCGCGGTTGAGGTGCAGGTCCGGGTTATTGGCTGCGTCTGGGTCCACGCGCTCCTATGGGGCAGGGCCATTGGTGGGGAATGCCCCATAGAGAGCCCTCTGCCCCATAGGAAACCCCCTGCCCCATAGAGAGCCCTCTGCCCCATAGCGACACCCCATAGGGTCCCACCTGCCCCATAACGAACCCCCATAGGGACCACCCTGCCCCATAGAGAGCCCTCTGCCCCATAGCAACACCCCATAGGGACCACCCTGCCCCATAGAGAGCCCTCTGCCCCATAGCGACACCCCATAGGGACCACCCTGCCCCATAGTGAACCCCCATAGGGAGCACCCTGCCCCATAGAGAGCCCTCTGCCCCATAGCGACACCCCATAGGGTCCCACCTGCCCCATAATGAACCCCCATAGGGACCACCCTGCCCCATAGAGAGCTCTCTGCCCCATAGCGACACCCCATAGGGTCCCACCTGCCCCATAACGAACCCCCATAGGGGCCTTCCTGCCCCATAGAGACCTTCTGCCCCATAGCAACACCCCATAGTGACCACCCTGCCCCATAGTGACACCCCATAGGGAGCACCCTGCCCCATAACCACCTTCTGCCCCATAGCCCCACCCCACAGAGACCCTATAGGAACTTCCTGCCCCATAGCAACACCCCATAGGAACCCCCCTTCCCTATAGAAACTCCTCTGCCCCACAGAAACCCCATAGCCCTATATTAGAGACCCACCATAGACATCACAGCCCCACAGCCCTGCCCCATAGAGACCTGTCCAGCCCCATAGGGACCCCTCCCAGCCCCATAGGGCCCCCCCTGCCCCACATACGGCCTGTGCGTAGGCGCCCAGGGCCCGGCGCGCGGCCTCGGGGCTCTGCCCCCCAGCGAAGAAGAGCGACACATAGGCATTGCCCAGCACATCTGGGGACACAGAGACCCATAGAGACCCATAGAGACCCATAGAGACCCATAGAGACCCATAGAGACCCATAGAGACCCATAGAGACCCCATAGAGACCCATAGAGACCCATTGAGACCCATAGAGACCCCATAGAGACCCATTGAGACCCATAGAGACCCCATAGAGACCCATAGAGACCCCATAGAGAGCCCATAGAGACCCATAGGGACCCATAGAGACGCATAGAGACCCCATAGAGACCCCATAGACCCCCATAGAGAACCCATATAGCCCCATAGACCCCCATAGAGAGCCCAGAGATCCCATAGAGATCCCACAGACCCCCATAGTCCCCTCTTTACCCCCCCATAGACCAGAGAGAGGGGGCGTGTCCTCATCTGACCCCGCCCCCTGCAGCACTATACCGCCCCCTAGCGGCCGCGCCGCAGCGCGCTGCCTGCACCCCCCCCCATAGCCCTCCATAGGCACCCCATAGACCCCCATAGACCCCCCATAGACCCCCCATAGAGCCCCCATAGAGCCCCATAGCCCCCCATAGACCCCCATAGACCCCCCATAGAGCCCCATAGACCCCCATAGACCCCCATAGACCCCCATAGAGCCCCATAGCGCCCCATAGCTCACACCAGGAGGCCCCATCGCAGGGCTGGCAGCGCACGGCGGCCTCGGCCTGGGCCAGGCTCTCCCTTAGGGCCCCTCCCCCACCGCCGGCCCTCAGCACCACGGACAGGAGGCGGCGGGCCCTGGCCTCCGCCCCCGGCGTGACGTCACGGGGGCGGGGCTAAAGCGGCAGCCAATGGGAGGAGAGAGGGGTGGGGTTAGAGGGAGGGAGGGGTCAATGGGCGGGGGGGGGAATGAGCAGCCATGGACCCTCTCTATAGGGTCCAATTGGCTTCTATGGAGCCCCATAACCCCCCTATATCCCCCCTTTAACCCCATAGAGCCCCCCATAGAGCCCACATAACCCCCTATATCCCCCCTTTAACCCCATAGAGCCCCCCATAGAGCCCACATAACCCCCTATATCCCCCCTTTAACCCCATAGAGCCCCCCATAGAGCCCCCATAACCCCCTATATCCCCCCTTTAACCCCATATAGCCCCCCATAGAGCCCCCATAACCCCCTATATCCCCCCTTTAACCCCATATAACCCCCCATAGAGCCCCCATAACCCCCTATATCCCCCCTTTAACCCCATATAACCCCCCATAGAGCCCCCATAATCCCCTATATCCCCCCTTTAACCCCATAGAGCCCCCCATAGAGCCCCATAACGCCCTATATCCCCCCTTAACCCCCATTAACCCCCCATAGATCCCCCATAACCCCCTATATCCCCCTTTAACCCCATATAACCCCCCATAGATACCCCATAACCCCCTATATCCCCCCTTTAACCCCATATAACCCCCACAGAGCCCCATAACCCCCTATATCCCCCTTTAACCCATATAACCCCATAGAGCCCCCATAACCCCCTATATCCCCCCTTAACCCCATATAACCCCCCATAGAGCCCCATAACCCCCTATATCCCCCCTTTAACCCCATATAACCCCCATAGAGCCCCATAACCCCCTATATCCCCCCTTTAACCCCATATAACCCCCATAGGGCCCCCATAACCCCCTATATCCCCCCTTTAACCCCCCATAGCCCCCTATATCCCCCCTTTAACCCCACAGAGCCCCCCATAGAGCACCCATAACCACCTATATCCCCCCTTTAACCCCCATAACCCCCTATATCTGCAATACAACCCCCTATATCCCCCCAACCGCCATATAACCCCCTATATCCTCCAACTCCATATAACCCCCTATACACCCCATATAACCCCCTATATCCCCCATATAACCCCCTATACACCCCATATAACCCCCAATATCCCCCCCAACCACCATATAACCCCCAATATCCCCCCCAACCACCCTATAACCCCCATATAACCCCTTATATCCCCCTATAACCCCCTATACACCCCATATAACCCCCTATACACCCCACAGAACCCCCCTCTACCCCCCCCCAGCCCCACTCACATGCGCCAAGGCCCCCCTGAAGCAGGCCCGGGCTCCCTCCAGGTCCCCCCGTGCCCATTGGAGCTCTCCCAAGCGGATCCAAGCAGAGGCCAGGCCCGGATCCAGCTTCACAGCCCGGCTCAGGGCCTGCTCCACTTGGGGGGCAGCCGTGGGGCAGACCCCTAAGGCCTCAGCCTGCAGCTCCAAGGCTCGTCCACGGGCCTGTTGGGACACTTAGGACCCCAAACCCCCCCTTTCCATAAGTGACCCCATTGGAATCAATGGGGCTGCCCCATAGCGACGCTGCCCCCCCCACAAGTACCATGCACGGCCTCCATTAAGCGCACGGTCCGCTCCATCTCTTGCTCCAACGTGACCTCGGGGTCATTCGGAGGGTCAGAGGTCAACGAGACCCGGAAGCGCTGCAGCTCCGACACCAGCTCCTATAGAAAGAAAGGGGAAAAAGGGGGTTTAAAATGGGGGGACCCCCAAAAACGCTTCCCCCCCCCATAAAGGGGTCCCCCCCATTCACCTCCAGCTTCTTTAAGGCCTCTTCGTCTCCATCCCCTTCCTCTTCGGCCCCTTCAGGCCCGGCCTCGGCCTCCGGCCCTTCGGCCGCCGCCGCCATTGCCATCGCCGCGGCTTGGCGGCACGGCGCATGCGCAGCCGGAAGCGGGCGCCGCGCTCTACGCATGCGTAAGGAGCGTCAGCCAATGGGGAGAGAGGAACTCAGCGTGGGCCACGCCCCCCTCCCACCCCTCAGTCGAGAGCCGGACGCCGAGGAGGAGGCAGCTCCTGCTTTATTCCCCCTTTATTTCCCCATTTCCACCTTTATTCTCCCTTTATTTTACCATTTTCACCTTTATTTCCCCATTTCCACCTTTATTTTCCCGTTTCCAGCTTTATTCCCCCTTTATTTTCCCATTTCCTCCGTTATTTCCCCATTTCCACCTTTATTTTACCATTTCCAGCTTTATTTCCCCCTTTATTTTCCCATTTCCCCATTTCCACCTTTATTCCCCCTTTATTTTCCCATTTTCCCCTTTATTTCACCATTTCCAGCTTTATTCTCCCTTTATTTTCCCATTTTCCCCTTTATTTCACCATTTCCAGCTTTATTCTCCCTTTATTTTCCCCTTTTCCCCTTTATTTCCCCATTTCCACCTTTATTTTACCATTTCCACATTTATTTCCCCTTTATTTTCCCATTTCCACCTTTATTTTCCCATTTTCACCGTTATTTCGCCATTTCTACCTTTATTTTACCATTTCCACATTTATTCTCCCTTTATTTCCCCATTTCCAGCTTTATTCCCCCTTTATTTCCCCATTTCCACCTTTAACATTTCCACATTCCCCTTTTATTTTACCATTTCCAGGTTTATTGCCCGTTTATTTTCCCATTTTCACCTTTATTTCCCCATTTCCACCTTTATTCCCCCTCTATTTTCCCATTTCCCCCCTTATTTTGCCATTTCCCCTTTTATTTCCTTTCCCCCCCTTTCTTTTCCCTTTTCTCCCTTTATTGCCCCCATCTTTTCCCATTTTCCCCTTTATTTTCCAATTTCCCCTTTGTTTCCCCATTTCCAGCTTTATTCCCCCTTTATTTTCCCATTTCTCCCTTTTATTCCCCCTTCTTTTCCCATTTATTTTCCCATTTCCCCCTTTATTTTCCTATTTCCCCCCATTCCCCCTTTATTTCCTGCCATAAACCCCCATTCCCCCTTTATTCCCCCTTTTTAACTTTCTTTTCCCCTTTTCCTGCCTTTCTAAACCCAATTCCCCCCTTACTTTCCCCCGGTTTTCCCTTTATCCCGGGGGTTTCCTCTTCAATTTCCCCTTTTCCTCCCTTTTTAACCCCATTTCTCCCCTTTTTAACCCAATCCCCCCCCCTTTTCTCCCCACTTTTCAATCCTTTTCCCCTTTCTTGCCCTTTTTTACCCCATTTTCACCCTTTTCCCACCCATTTCCTCCCCGAAAACGCACTAAAAAACCTCCATTTCATCTTTTAATCTTCGCTTAAACGTTCTTTATGTCAAAACCCAAACGTTTTTCCCGTAAAACACAGCGAAAACGGTTAAAAACGGCGTAAAAAAGTAGTAATTCCAGATAAAAGGGTTAAAAGCGGAGGGGGGGGGGGAACGGTTGCGGCCTCGCGGTAATAAAACGACGCTAAAACGGCAAAAAACGGGCAATAAAACGGCCATAAAATGGTAATAAACCCATAAATACAATAAATTCACCCCCCTCCGAGTGAAATTAAGCATTTATAAAGCATTAAAATACGAAAATTGAACCTTTTTAAGCGTTTAAACGGCGAAATTCGGCGTTGAACGAGGGCGAAGGCATCGGGTTCCTAGAAAGGGGGGCGAAAATGGGGTGAAAGTGGTGAAAAAGAGGCAAAAAGCAGAAAAACGATGAATTAATCGCGGTAAATTAAAGGGATTTTGCTTTATTTCATAGAGAATTAGTTAAAAATGAGGAGGTTGAAAGGCGGGGAGGGAAAACCGGCCCGGAATTGGGGTAAAAAGGGGAGAAATCGGTGAAAAACCGAATATAATGAACTTAAAATGAAATATAAATGAATCGAACGAAACGAAACCCGATTTAGTCCCGTTAAATGGATAAAAATAGGAAATAAAGGGGATAAAACGGGCTTTATGGCAGGAAAAGGGGAAAAAGACTCCCAAAAGAGACAAAACTGAGGTAAAAAAGGGCGAAAAACGCTTTAATTCGTGATTTAAGTGAATTAAAAGTGAATTAAGGCGATTAAATGTTAATTACGACATAAAATAAGGCTGGAAACGGGGGTTTATGGAGGGTAAAAAGGGAGTGGAACAGGGCCTAAGTTAACGGAGGTCAAAAGGGGCCTAAACCGAGGTAAAACCGCATCAAAACGCGTTGAAAACGTCTCAAATCGGTTAATAAAGTGAGAAACGGATTAAAATAGAAACGAAAATGATTAAAAACGGGGTTTATGGGGGTAAAAGGGGGAAAGCCACGTGGTGGGGGCGAAACTGAGGTAAAAATGTCCGAAATCGCTCTAAAAAGCGATAAAAACGCGTTAAAACCGCTTCAAATTCATCAATAAAAGTAATAAATTGATTAAAATATGAAGTAAAATGATTTAAAACGGGGTTTATGGGGGTAAAAGGGGGAAAGCCACGTGTGGGGGGGCAAAACTGAGGTAAAACCCCCTCGGAATGCACATAAACCCCATCAAAATCCCCATAAAACAGGCGAAAAGCGACGAATTAGGTTAAAAATCACCTAAAAATAGCAAATAAAGGGCAAAGAAACGGGTGTTTAATGAGAAAAAGGGGTTTAAAGGGGGAAATGCGATGGGGGGGGGCGGACTGAGGTAAAAAGTGCCCGGATGGAGACAAAAAGCGACCAAAAACGCAATAAAATGGATGAATAAAGGTAAAAAAAGAGGGAAAATGGGGAAAAAAGGGAAAATAAAGGGGTTTTAAGAGTTTCAATGGGGATATCTACTCAAATTAAGGGGTTTTAAAGCGGCAATGGGGACACCCCCCAATTTAAGGCGGACTGAGGTAAAAAGTGCCCGGATGGAGACAAAAAGCGACCGAACCGCGTTTAAAACGATGAATAAAGGTAAAAAACGAGGGAAAACGGGAAATAAAAGGAGAAATAAAGGGGTTTTAAAGCGGCAATGGGTACAGCCCCCCCCAATTTAAGGCGGACTGAGGTAAAAAGTGCCCGGATGGAGACAAAAAGGGACCGAACCGCGTTTAAAACGATGAATAAAGGTAAAAAACGAGGGAAAATGGGAAATAAAAGGAGAAATTAAGGGGTTTTAAAGCAGCAATGGGGACACCCCCCTCCATTTAAGGCGGACTGAGGTAAAAAGTGCCCGGATGGAGAGAAAAAGCGACCGAACCGCGTTTAAAACGATGAATAAAGGGAAAAAACGAGGGAAAATGGGAACTAAAAGGAGAAATAAAAGGGTTTTAAAACCTCAATGGGGACAACCCCCCCCCAATTTAAGGTGGAATGAGGTAAAAAGTGCCCGGATGGAGAGAAAAAGCGACCGAACCGCGTTTAAAACGATGAATAAAGGGTAAAAAAGAGGAAAAATGGGGTAAAAAAGGGGAAATAAAGGGGTTTTAAAGCATTAAGGGGGACCCCCCCCCCCGTTTAAGCCCTGTGCGGCCCCGCAAACTCCGCCGGAGCCACCGAGCTCCGCTCCCCGGGTGAAGGAAAAGCCGCGGGCGCTGCTCTCCGACCCCGCTAAAACCCCGCTCGCCCGAGGCTGGCGGCGGCGGAGGGAACGCGGGTCGGGGGTAACCGGTTACAGCGAGCGCAGGCCCTTACCGGAGCCACATCCGTCCGCGGCGGCGGCCTGCGCGGAATGAGCGCTTCCGGCTACTGCGCATGCGTCAAGGTTACGTTTCCGCCCCCTCCCCGCGCCGCGTTCCTATTGGCTGATGGGCGGGTTAGGGGCGTGGCTTCCGGCGCAAAGTGGAGGGAGGGGATGGGGAGCGCTGCCTTATAAGGAGGTGGGATGCAAATGAGGGGAGGGAGGCGGGGCTTCGGTGCCTTATAAGGAGATGGGGTGGGAATGAATGGAGGGTGCTACCGGGGGGCGTGGCGTCGCTTCCTTATAAGGAGATGGGATGTAAATGAGGGGAGGCGGGGTATGAAATGCAAATGAATGGAAGGGGGCGTGGTATCACTTCCTTATAAGGAGATGGAATGTAAATGAGGGAAGGCGGGGCTTTGCTTCCTTATAAGGTGAGAAGGGTAGTGACATGCAAATGAATGGGAAGGGGGCGTGGTATCGCTTCCTTATAAGGAATAAAGAGGCGGAGCCTTGGTGTAGGGGGTGGAGCCTTTATGAAGGGGGCGGGGCCAGGTCAGTCGCGCCATGTGACTTCCACTTCATCTGTCCTGTACCTGGGGGGGGGGAGGGAGAGATTGGAGCCCTATAGATGGGGGTCCAGCCCCATAGATGGGGGACCCACCCCTTATATATGGGTCCCAGACCCATAGATGTGGGTCCCACCCCCTATATGTGGGTCCCACCCCCTATATATGGGTCCCAGCCCCCTAGATGTGGGTCTCAGCCCCCTGTAATGAATCCCAGCCCCCTATATGTGGGTCCCAGCCCCATAGATGTGGTTCCCACTCCCTATATATGGGTCCCAGCCCCATAGATGTGGATCCCGCCCTCTATATATGGGTCCCAGCCCCATAGATGTGGGTCTCAGCCCCCTGTAATGAATCCCAGCCCCCTATATGTGGGTCCCAGCCCCATAGATTTGGGTCCCAGCTCCATAGATGTGGGTCCCACCCCCTATATATGGGTTCCAGCCCCATAGATGTGGGTCCCATCCCCTATATGTGGGTCCCAGCCCCCTGTAATGAATCCCAGCCTCCTATATGAGGGTCGCAGCCCCATAGATGTGGGTCCCAGCCCCTTATATATGGGTCCCACCCTCTATATATGGGTCCCACCCTCTATATGTGGGTCCCAGCTCCATAGGTGTGGGTCGCGGGCACTCACCTCTGCGTGATCCCTGATTGGTCGAGCTCGGTCACCTGACCCACCCGCAGCATCTCCCACCCCGCCTGAGCAATCATGGCCCCATTGTCAATGCAGTACCTATGGGG